AACGTCGAGAGTGGAGGTAGATGACATGTCGATTGTGAAAATTCCCTCGCCACTAGGCGCTGGAACCACTTTAATGTGACGCTTTGGCACTTTGAAGCACCCCAATAATTTAAATGTGCGCACCATTATCACTTTTTGCACTGCACAACACTTTTTGATTCAAAAACTATTTGTTTACACTTTAAATTAACAAAGATGGCGGGTAAACGCGTAGGTCGTGCGAGCTCGGCGCGCATGCGCGAACGAATGACAGTTCGGCAGGTAAAGCAATGGTCATTGTGGCGCGAAATACTCAGTTAACCCAGGTTCTTTTTGCTATTATCAGAATACAGATAAAAACTTTTTGCATTCTTGTGACTACGAAAAAAAAACATCTTATTCATGCTAAGTTCCCACGTTGCCACAGTCCTTTCTTTCACAATCGTTTTGTTTCTTTTATATCGAAACATATCTAGATTTACGGGTTTCTTAAACTTTCTCATGATATAATTAGCAAGGAACACTGATTGCAGTTTAGTGATACAATTTGTAAAGCAATGAGCTGTAGGTACCTACTTTTGAACATGATAGATATTCCATAAACTTATAAAACCAATACGATGTCGCATGTGAAAGTAAACTACAAGAATTTAGTTTTAAGGGATTCACAGCAGTTCTAAAGTATGGAATCCCCTATATTGTGGTATAATTTTAATATAAAACACTCTAAAAACTGTGACATTTTGTCAATGTTTGACAACTTCATAAGCATAAATCAAAAATGCCCAATAAAAAAGGTTTAACTCAATCTTGAAATAACTTAAAGAATACAAAGCATTTAAACATTATTATATTATTTGATTCGAAGAAGTGATTTAATATTTTCCATTTTCCAGACCTTAAAATGCAAATCTGTCTTGGTTATCTTTTCACGCCACATTGAGACGAACAACGAATTCATTTAAATAAATCTATTCATGTTATAAGTTAAGTGGTAGTGCCTTTTGAATTTACAATCTAAAACATATGCATTAGGTATGAGAATGGAAATATCTATTGATATTTTACTTATTAGGACAATAAACTACGCAACTGCATTTTCTATGTCCGACGCACGCTTCGGCTAATGGACAGTGAATAGACCACGCCACTACCGATGTTAATGGAAACACGTCGTCGGACACGCTGTCTTATATGGAAACGCCTTATATGTATGTAATGATTTAACGATTAAAACAGCTCAAATACACATTATTTGACGTGTGAACGCAAATCTTACAATTCATTAAGTGGTTAGCACCGCCTGGCTTGATCGTGTCACATTAAATCACTTGACATCGGTTCGTGTGCACGCTAATGGGCCAATTATATTATATTGGTCGGTTTTCTGAAGTATTCATTTTTTTACAGTATATGTATGAACGTGTTAATAAGGTAACCTTACAAACGTAAATCCAAGACAGACAATCAATTTAAAATTTGTGATTTAGTTGTGTAGTTGAAATTCTTTCACAAACCAATTCAATCGCTGATATGATCAGTGGTGAAATGTATAGTATGGGGACCGTTTCAATGGCGCAGTAGCTACATTTGCATAACGCCCGATGTCGGGAGGTCGATTCCCACTCGGTGCAAATACTTGCACACATAATTATGTCTATTGACTTTGGTCTAGGAATATATAAACATAACTTGTATAAATTTTAAAAGATAAACATATCTCTACCTAAGTGTATTTATCCGTATTCTAGGAACCAGGTGCAATAATAGGTGTGCCTAGTTTGATGACTCAGGAAATCAAAATTCACTACCATTTGGCATTAATGGCTACCTATTAGGGCAACTGAGCTGTTTGGGATTATCCTTAACCTAACTGTAACATAGTTTTTACTAATATGGGGATGGAAGGGGTAAACCATGACGGTTTTGCGGCCAGATGTAGATTATGTCATGTTGGATTATGTATAACCGTGCAGCTATTTAAGACAATAAAGGTTTACTTATTTACACACGGTGCACCGTGTACAAGCACCCTCTCACCCTTGCAAGTAGCTGGAGTAAGTAATAGGTGAGAGAGTCATGTTTTGGCACATGGGCCAGGCTCGACCTGAGTGACACCACGGCCTCACAGAAAAACGGTGTTAGGCAAGTCTTTTGTTGTTTCGCCAAATGAATGAGATTACCGTTGCTTGGGCAACGGTAATCTCATTCATCTACCCTACCCCTGATTCAGAAGGGGGAGGATCCAATAGTACCCGAGACGGCGTGCTATTTTTGGTCGGTTCGAGTCCGACATAATCACCCTAACGCAATGGTGGGTGATATCCGAGAGGGTTTCCGCACAGGAAAGAAAAAGAAAAAAGGGGGGATCCAAGGCAAGCGGCAACATCTTGTGACTCTTGAGGTGTAGCTATCCATGGGCCGCGGTAGTCACTTACCATCAGGTGACCCGTCTGCTCGTTTGCTATTTCAACGCAATTTTTATGACATAGATGTCGACGAACGAGAATTCTCATAAAATCATTTGTTAAAAATATTCTATTAGAGTTAATCAATTTATCTCGAGTCACAGATTGTGCGGTTTACCTATGCAGCGGCTCGCGCTAATACAAGTTTGCATCGCTGGACTCGCTTAGTCTTTTTCATGAATCATATAACCTGCGCAAGTGCCTCAACATGCGCAAGTGCCTCAACATGCGCAAGTGCCTCAACATGCGCAAGTGCCTCAACATGCGCTAGCTACTTGTATAAAAGCATCCTTAGTGTGGGTTTAGATAGTATTTTGGAATATATTCCATAATATTTAGAAGTTATTTACACACACACTGTATTGTTTCATCCGTGTGGTGACGGATTAAGAATACAGAGTGTCATCACCCCTATTCATCCCGTGGGTGTCGTAAGAGGCGACTAAGGGAGCGAACTACGCAGGACAACAGCATTGCAGAGAGAAGGAAAACTTGATACAAACCCTATACCAACCCGTCTGGCCAGCGTGGTATAGTAGGCCAAAGCCTCCTTTCTAAGGAGAGGCCTATGTCCAGCAGTGGACTGTTAAAGGCTGTTGATGTGTGTGATGTGATGTGATAAGCACCAATGTGTTCTGGAGTATTTTACACAATGTGTGCGTGCCATAACGTTGATTCGATACTTAAATATCCTAATATACTAATCAATTTAAACCAATTGAATATTTGAATGTAAATATTAAATAGTCTTAAATCAGATAATAAATAAAAAAAAAAAAAAAACAGAATATTTTAGTGTACGTTCCAGCATGCCAAATGGTTTTGATAATTTATCTTGATCTTTATCTATTAATATGTAAATTAGCTCCAGGATAGATTGATTCGCCGCATAAGCACGAGAGGAATTCCATAAAAACACAATTAAATCCCTGTTTTTCTTGGAACGTTAAAAAGATAAACTATTAATACTGGACGATTCACATTTAAAACCCGGCAAATAATCGATTTAAAAAAATCTCATGGTTAACTGTTTGTATGGTATTCGGAAATGTTTTAGCAGGCAATAAATAAGATACCTCTTTATATTACTTTAACGCACTTCAACTATTACACGCTGCATCGCTTACATGATTGTTTCTTACTAGCCGTCGTCTGCTTATCTCAGGAAGGAGGAAGGAAGGATTTTTATTGATACTCGGTTCCTATTGGTCGCAGCATGCTGTTATATAGCCTATATCCTTTCTCGTAATTCCTGAGAATACTTTACATCTTTATAATCTCTTTTGCGTGCGGCTGAGAGCTATGCTGATGTGGCATCAAAATTGGACTTAGATCTGTTTTGTACAAATTCAACTACAGTCAAAAGACTTTTCAGTAAATATTTCTTTGGCAGCGACCGGTAGATATGCCTACTGAATTACTTTGTTTATCTGTTTTAATTATTATTTTATTTGTTTTTTTTTGTGTTGCCTATAATTTAGTTTTTGGTTTTTATTTTTTGCTGACACTTGCTGTTCAACTGGGAATATTATGTATAACTGTGGTTTATTATTAGGTTATTTATATGTGGAAGATTTTTATTAGCAATTTAAGCGTTACTCAACTGTGTATGTAAATATTAGTCTGTAAGCTTTCCTAAGATAAATAAATAAATAATATTTATTTTTATTTCTTGTTGCGAACTTCAATATAACCGTTCATCAGAGACACAAGTATCTCTTGAGTTACAGGTCGAGTCTCCCCCCACCAATTATGGGGGAAGAGGGCAGCTGCAGTACCTCACTCACTTACTCGGTAAAAAGCTATAAAAGTTTAACACCGGCTTTCTGTGGAACCGTTATATCATTGCGGTCGATGCTGCCCGTACTATGTGCCAAAGGATCGCTCTTCCTCGGTATATTTGCTTGGTTTTTTAATAGAAAACAATACTATTTATGAGTCAGGCATACCAAGAAGCATTTAAAAATGATAGGTTCGACTTTATTTAAACAGATTGGTACTGTGATAACATACCTGGAAACTATATAAAAGCACGTTGCTCGTATTTTTGAAAAAAATGTGTGATTAGTTCCTAGTAACATTATACATATTACATTCTAATATGTTTCTTGTAATATTTTATATAATATCTATAAAAGAAGAAACTTGGCAGACTGATTCAATGACTGATTGAATGCACAGCTGAATCCACTCAAAGAAATGTATGAAACAAATGTACTCAATGAATCCCAAATTATTGGCACTACTGGCACTAATCGCATTGTAAAAAACTGGCCCACATAGTTATTAATATCAATCGGATTACTCAACAGTGATCTTTTTAGTCGTCATTTATCTGTTGAGTAATCAATTAATCATCAATATGCAAATATACGAGTAAGTAACCCTAGGATTATACGCAAATACAGGAACAAAAATCTCTATCTGTGATGATTCATATATTTTTAATCAAATTGAAAAAAAACACTACAATATAATTCTTAAAATAATAAATCAATACATGATTACGTTCGGCATAATTTTATAAACAGCAACTACGACTCTTTTCTGTTCTTAGAACAACTTGATCGTCTCAATCCTCTTAAAAAAAATCATCTTCTTCTGAATAAGCGCAAGGATCCAGTCAGGAGTTGGCGCAACGTAACGAACATCGTGGTCTGTCGCGTCACCTTCAATCCTGAACCACATCTGCATGCAAAATATGTGTATTTATTTCAGCCAGTAATTAGAATGCCAGATTGTGTTCTGGAGTATTTTACAAAATGTCCATTCGCATTAAGAAAGTAGTGACCATAGAAATCGTATTATTTCTGTGGTAGTGACGGATCGATCAAGTCCCGCATCCTGTGCAATCAGGTTCCCAAGCTTTCGTACGAAACGATAATTTCTTGGAACCTGATTGGCCAGGGGGCGGGGCTTGATCGATACGTCACTATTTTCTTAATGCGAATGGAATTTAGATGTTATCTATTAAACTAGGCATAGCTTGTACTAATACTTCAAGAAAATGGAAGAGTATTATATTTCTTGTATATGCTTAGGTATACGTGTCTATTATACATCGATACAAACATCATTGTAATAGTTTAAGAGGCATATATGCAATGTGCAATGATTCAAGAAGTTTCATTGTTAACAGTTGACTAGAAAATAAAACGATTTGCAAATATGTACAAAATACTACTTGGCGGCGCCAAAGTATCGAGGACAGTATTAAGAAAACTTAAGTATTGTAATGATATAATAATAAAATTAACTTTACTTTGTAAAAAGACACAGCATACAACTTTTATTGAAAAGTAAAAAAAATCCTTTTTATAATTTTTTGAGACTTACAACTGTTATAGACATTATATGCGTACAATACAAAGCGATGTCATAATATTGTGTTCAGAACACAATCATAGTTCTATGTAATTAAGTAACAACAACAATACTAATAATAATACTTTAATTAGACCCAAAAAAAAGGCGTGAGGAGTCTATGAACCCCCGCCCCCGGTTGGAACGAATTCCCACAAGAAGTGTCGGAGAAAATCTTGTTACACTTTTTTCGATCTCGCTCCTATCGTGTAACGCGCGATAAGGAACTTGGTTCCAATAAATCACAACAACGTATAAGTTTTTTTAACAGTATAAGGTGGGCAAAACGGGTCACATGATAGTAAGTGACTACCGCCGTCCATGGACACCTGCAAATCAAGTCACAAATGCGTTAGCGCCTTTTCAGTTCCGCCCCCATAATCAAGGGGGAGCACTGAAAGAACTGCTTAACACCGGTTTTCTGTGAGGCCGTGGTACTCACTCCCGTCGAGCCTAGTCCTGTGCCGAGGCATGACTCTCCCACTATTTAGTAAGAAATATGGATATGTTTCAGCAATCTAATCATAAAAATATCAACATGACATTTTTTTTTTCCGTCTGGTCACGGTTCAAAAATACGGAGTATCACCATCCCCATTTTTCCCGTGGGTGTCGTAAGACCCGACTAAGGGAGCAAACTAGGCAGGACAATAACACTGCAAAGAGAAGGAAAACTTGAAACAAAACCCTGTAACAACCCGTCTGGCTAAAGTAAAGCTTTTACAAAATCACAATTCTTTTTAGGTTAAGTATTAAGGCAACACGCTATATAATTCATAGTTTGAAAATATTCTGTACGCATCTTACCACCGGTGCCTTTTCCTTCTCTGTATGCTTATCTTCAATCTTGAAAAACACCGAGCCTGTTGCCTGAGGTATAGGGTACGCAGCTGTCGGTTGGCTGAAGATGGCCTAAGAATATTTTTTAAAATTAAGTTAAAAATACGCTCCTAGACATATTATTTTCTGGAATACGCCTTAATCATGATACTCGAATCCTTAAGGCGATATGTAATTATTTCCGTGTGCCTAAGTTAATATTTCAAAGTACGTTTATGGTTATTTTAGCGTGAAGAAAAAAATAATATATTAACTGTTTTGTATGTCTTTGTACAGATTTTTGTACATATTAGATATTATATAGGTTTATGTAGACGTTTTGGCATAATTTATTTATTTATTTATCTCCTTTTGAGCCCTTTTCCCAAACTAGATTGTGGTCGGCTTCAAGTCTACCACAATACAGCTGAACTTCGATTTTTAACCCTCCACTACCCAATTGTGCAAAATGACGTATGATTATTCCCTTCACGTATTAATGTACAGATATAAAATAAGTTTATCTTAGTTAAGATAACTTAAATCCTCATCATCCACAAGACTGCTAAGAAATAAAAGGATCGATGTCATGATACCTCGAAATAGTAATAGTGAGATACTTCATCACATGTCTCCCCCATGTACTGGAGGTGATACTTAAAGACGTCTGTCAGTTGCCAATCTTTCTCAATAGTCTTGGTTATAAACTCTTCGCCCGTGATAGCAATAGGGGTTACGATGCTGCTCAGGTTCAGGCGATGGCCTTCCCAAGCATAGGCTGCACCGTCTGTAGAGCACATTTAGCGTCAGCAATATTATAGTTATTTATTTAAAATAAAAAGCACACAAAAAAAAACAACACGCAAAATAAACCAACCCAAAAACAAAACCTAACTTTACCTAAAATACTTCTAAAGGACTAAGGCCTGGACTAAGTGGACTATAAATATAAGAATGAGTATTTGCCGCATTGTGAAGGTTATTATATATTAACAATTTATACAAGTGCATAACTTAATAACGAATTAAAAGTAATTACAGATGTATGTATTTACCAGCAAGTTCATCCAACTCTTGTCTTATGCCGACTCTGTGCTTAGCTAGGTTCACAGTTTTGATCACGATGTTCTTTGCCCGTTCTTCAAGTGATTGAAGCTCTGGGGTCGGTTTACATTTACCGTATCGTTTTAGTTCATAATTCATTTTTAGCTGTTTATAAATTTCTTAAAAGTTCGTTGCTTGAGTAATATCAGTGGCAGATAATAAATAGAAAAATCTGTATACAATTGTGTTGCGAAATGCGAAGTGTCAAAAGTTGTTATTTTTTTACTGTCAAATCCTGTATTAAAAAAGTAGGTTTGCATACTTTCTGAGACATTGTTGTAAACAGGCTTAGCTTTACTTGTTTAAACCTATTTACCTACTTTTACCTGTCATAAAGAAATGTTTGTAGTTTGGTGATCATACTATAATTTAGCGTCTTGGTACTGCACGAGTGATGGGGCCTGGAACTGGATAGTATATATAACTCCTCAGTTAATGTCAACTAATGATTGGAGTCAGGAAGTGTATAGGGAACAGTTTTTATTTAATTCATAGAAGAACGATAACAAATGAGACAAAGAAAATTAGCATGGCATGGAGCGAAATGAGGTTCAAGCTCTAGATCAATCGTGATGGAGGTTTACTGTGAACGCCCTCCAGGGAAAGAAGTTTTGTCTACCTTTTTATTACGATTTGACTAAAATAATAAAGGCGAATGTAAGTTTGTTTTTAGTGTTACGAATAAAGAATCTTCGTAGGATTATCTCATTGCCAGTAGCTGCTTTTATACTGATTCAGATACATGTTGGATTATATTTAAAAAAAAAACTACATTCATATTTCACTGATCCAATTGCTTAACGATTACTGTTTTTAAAGGATTAATCTGATGGGGAAGTACCCATGGCTCAAGAGACACAATGATTTACCGCCCTTTGAATGTCATTTCCCTCCCCAAATTCTACAATCGTAACTAATGTTATATACAGTAAATTAATTTGAAAAATCTAAAAACAAAAAACAATAAAAGTTAAAGACATAACCTAGTATTACAATAAAAGACAATAGTGGTCAACAAACGTTTAATAGAACCAGTCTGCTACGTTGAATGTTATTATGAGTATAACAAAGTCGTAGTATGTTCATTTGTATGTTTGTTTAAAAAAAAAGCTTAACACTGTCTGAAAGATTGTGTAAAAAACACTGTCTAAAATAAAGTCACTTTAAAATAAAACGTTATTCATAAAAAAAAATCAACTACAAAAGAAAGCTTAAATAAAATAACAGTTTTTGCAGATGCAGACGAATATGTGCTCAAAACAATTTCAATGTCTCTATTCTCTTGAAAAACTTTATCTTCTTCTGAATGAGAGCAAGCAGCCAATCAGCTGTCGGGGCCACATAGCGGACATCGTGGTCTGTGAAATTACCCTCAACTCGGAACAACATCTGTATAAAGAATATGTCAATCAAAATCTATTTTCAATAATTTTTAAATATTGAATTATTGAACGAATTTATCTACGGAGTCTTCTGATCTATGTCATCATCATCATCAACAGCCTTTAATAGTCCACTGCTGGACATAGGCCTCTCCTTAGTAAGGAGGTTTTGGCCTACTATACCACGCTGGCCAGACGGGTTGGTATAGGGTTTGTGTCAAGTTTTCCTTCTCTTTGCAGTGCTGTTGTCCTGCGTAGTTTGCTCCCTTAGTCGCCTCTTACGACACCCGCGGGATGAATAGGGGTGGTGACACTCTGTATTCTTAATCCGTCACCACACGGATAATCTATGTATATCTATCTATTCGTTTCTGATATAGATCAGAAGATTCCGTAGATAAACTTGTTCGATAAATATTGAATAATTGAACGAATTTATCTACGGAGTCTTCTGCTCTATATCTATCTATAACGTACCGTTCTCGTGGGATGAGCAACGTATTGAAATATGTAATAATAAATCCCATCTTCATAAATTCTTAACCGATATAGACAAAAAATTAACTCCGCTCAACTTAAACGACACAAACATTCAACCAAAATTATTGAGCAAACAGCAGAAAATAGACTTATGGGCACAAAAGTCTCTACACGGCAGACATCTCGCCGATCTCAGCCAAACACACGTCGATAGAAAAGCGTCGAACGAGTGGCTGCGGCGCGGAGAACTCTTCCCAGAAACCGAGGCTTTTGTGATCGCTATTCAGGATCAGGTTATCGATACTCTTAACTATAAAAAAACACATAGTCCGTACCCCTAACCTTCCCACCGACTTATGTAGACGATGCCATAGCAGTTCCGAAACCATCCAACACATCACTGGTTCTTGTAAATCTATTGTACAAACTGATTATAAACACAGACATGACCAAGTTGCAGCAATAATCCATCAAAATCTAGCTCACAAATACTCATTTATTTCAAAAAAAACTGCTTATTATAAATATAAACCATGTACAGTTCTAGAAAATAATGCATTTAAAATATATTGGGATAGGACAATAATTACCGACAAAACCATACATTATAATAGACCGGATATAACAATACTAGACAAAACTAACAAAATAGTTTTTATTATAGACATAGCAGTATGTAACACACACAATCTCCTCACGACGCACTCAGAAAAGATGACTAAATACACAGACTTAGCAACGGAAATAAAAAGGCAATGGCAGGTAGATAGAGTTAAAATAGTACCCATTGTCATATCTACAACTGGTGTAGTACCGAAGACTCTACAAGATAGCCTCAACACATTGGAAATGCCGAAATCCTCTCTCATACTCTTACAAAAAGCAGTCCTTCTTAACACATGCCGTCTCACACGCAAATTTCTCGCTTCATCCTCATCATCTTAACTTCATATCATCATCCCTTTTTGGCACACTTGGCTAAGGCCCGTGTGTTAGATTTTGTTACCCCTTTAAAATAAAAGGGAGACCAGACAAGGTATAAAATGACATAATAATAATAATGTTATCATGACAATAATAATAATATTTGTACTCGTATTTGTTATTCTTTCAAACAGCGGGTACGAATAATAATTTCTCTAAGAATCATAGTCAGAAATTATTATTCGTAGGTGCAAATCAATTAGTAGTAGTATGCATTATTATTATTCTTTATTTCTACCGAGACTGTTCGCACTTTTCTTTTATTATGTCATCTAGAAGCGAAAACTTGGGGTTAGCTGTCTGGATACTAATGGTTACTGTTATGTTAAATTAGCTGTTAGTTTTCCATGATTAAAAAATAAATAAAAAGTGCACTTCCGTCTACTATTTTCTATACTACCTTTGGCGTCTTTTCCGTGTCGATTTTCTCGTCTTCAATTCTAAAGTATACCGACGCAGTTGCTTGAGGTATAGGAAAAGCAGCTGTTGGTTGACTGAAGATGGCCTGGAAATTTAAATATATAATACTGGGGTAAATAGTGTTAAGTTACGGATGCCTATAGTTTAAACGAGATTAATTCTAAAATAATAAGTAAATGCGAGCTGTCAACGAAGGAGTATGAGGAGTGAAGGTGTAGAAAACTTTGATGGATAGCACGAATGGCGTAGTTGTTTAAGTGGTCCTTGCCCCTTTCTACTGTGTTGAGTATTTTAGGTTCGATCCCCACATGGACAACACTTTGTGTGATCCACAAATTGTCGTACTGAGTCTGGGTGTTCTTTGTGTCCGTTTCATAAATGTCTGTAAAGTCTCCCGCTACACTGAACATTTTCCTAGAAAGAAAAAAGAGAAAAGATTCTGATCTGCATTTACCTCGAAATAGTAATGATGACTCACTTCATCAGTAGTTTGCCCTTTATAATCGAGGTTATACTTGAAGACAGTAGTCAGCTTCCAATAATCCTCAATGGTGTTAGCGATAAACTTGGCCGCGGTGATATGTATAGGCTTTTCAATACTTGTTAGATTCAAACGGTTATCTTTCCATGCGTAGGCAGCAGTATCTTGGGAACAGATAAATAACAATATGGTATCTACTATTTAATCAATTTTCTTTTTTGGGTTTGCTATATTCCCATATAATACAATTCCCATATTGAAACAAAACATTTCATACAAGTATTTTAATGGAGGATACGATTGAGAAAAAAAACTTGTGGATTACTTTTGAGGGCAATGTTTCTGCTCCTATTTTTTTGTATTTAAGACGAATTTGTTTGTTGAAGATGTTTTTTTTATTAATATATGTATACAGAGTTATACGTTTATTTTAGTTATTGGACACGAAATCATGTTTTTCATAATCTGTTAGGCTCAGGCGGCGGCAAACAAACGTCTTACTAATCACACGATAATTTTTGAAAAAAGTCTGATAGGCTTTGTTTAAAGTTTCTTGTAGTTACGTTCGTCTCTCCCTCTATATTACAAGTTGACTTTTATAACCCGTCTCGAATGTGCGGGCCTCAAGGTATGTCACCTACTAAGGATACTTTCCATCAATCAGCCATTGGATGATATAGAGATGATGAACAAGGGTAATACAAGTGCACCTAACAGAGATAACTCACCAGCTAGTTCTTCTAAGCCTAGTCTTATTCCTACTCGTTCTTTTGCTTGGTTTATAGTCCTAATCACGAGCATTTTGGAACGCTCTTCAACTAGGTAAAGCTGTGGGATCTCTATATGGTCCAGGTTAATTTGCATTTTTTTAATAATTAATCTATAAATTTGATCGTATTATATGTATCTCACGGATTACAAAATATGTAGGTGTAAAATTATATGTTGTTTAGTTGTAGTCGATTGTATGGTATTAAGAAATTGTACTGTCAAAGAGGCTATATCTTTTTCTTCCAACTGTCATAGCAGAGCAGCCAACACACATCGAAATAAATTTAGGTTTGTTGCTTCAATCTCCTTTTCAAAAACATATGTAACTACAGATTTTTTTTTCAATATAAAAATTGTCGAATATAAAATAAAGTGAATGAATTGTGCGTGTGTAATTAGACTTAAATGTATTTATTCGTAGTATTTGCATACTCTTTGCGTGTTTCTTTCAATAAATCCATAAAACTGACCTCTATTATAAAATTACACTGTATAACAGAGGCAGACGGTAAGCTAAAGAGCCAGATAACCAGGGCTCATACAAGGAATGATCCATGATGGATATTTGCATTTGTTGAGGTCGTGATCAAAATCTATGAAGAGGACTACTCGTATATTTAATTATACATACGAGTATATAATAGAGGTCAGCGCTCTAGTCTAAAGGATAAAGGCGAAATCATATTATTGAAAAAATAATCTGACGATTCCGAAAAACGCATTGCGTGTTGAGTTGAGTTGCGAATCAAATCGTATTATTGTCTATTGCCACTAGCAAGACACTACGAAAATCCTTGTATTAAGCTAAACATGCATTATTTACGTATTCTCCCTCACCATTTGATGTAGAGGCCTAGTGCGATCTTATAATAATATCACATCAACGCGCTCTCGACTCGCTCGGTGTTGCGATTAGCCCGACTGAACTCTTCACCGTTGATATGAAATACACTCGTACTAGGCCCTTTGGTTCCAAGCACTCGATCCAATCATTGGATCGAGTGTATGGGCATGCAACGCATTGCATCGGTCGGCAAAACAATACGGTTTCATTGCAATAAACTCGCAGCGTGTTTTCTCAGGACCCATTGCGTTTTAATAGTATCTTTCTTCCCTCTCTTTTTAATTCACTCGTTCATGGCGTTTTATGCGTGAAGTCCTTTTACAATGTTTATTTTTCATATAACTAAAAAAAATAAAAGCAATCATTGTATGACTGTGTTATTGTTAAAATATTAAGTTACAACTATGTTTTAGAAGCATTTCATGGTCTCTATTCTTTTGAAAAAATTCAGTTTCATTTGAATCAGAGCGAGTATCCAATACGCAGCCGGTGCGATGGTTCGGACGTCGTGATCTGTGTGATCGCCTTCAAGTCTAAACCAAATCTGTACAAAAACACAATTATAAAATTAATCATTTTATAATTGTGTTTTTGTCCAGATTTCTAACTAGTATCATCGCAATTATAAAGGGTAACAGACAAATAAACATACACATGTTAACTCTCTGAGGCCCTTTCCAGTGTTTAGTCAGGGATTCCCAAAAGTGGTCGAGGTCGGATTGCCACTTGCTTTATGTTGTGTTCGTTTTCGTTTATGTTGACCCCTGGGGATTCCCAGGGGTCAACATAAACGAAAACTAATTTTCGAGGTCCACGAGGTCTAATAATCGACCCCTATTAACATTACAAAGTTCTTATTTAAATAAATTTGAAACTTTCAAGATTATTAGGTGTGTTACATATACCAACTTGTTATAAGACTTATATTTTAGTAGCAGTATCATTATTGTACTTTTAAAAAACTCAAGAAGTCGATAAGCGTGCAGTGATTTGGCTATGGGGGTCTGAGGTATCATTCTATTTCAGAACAGGGGTATCTTGCCCAAAATAGTTTGGGAATCCCTGCTTTTGATAATAAAGTTTTTCTTATACTGACCATACTGGTTTTTTTTTATTTTCGAACAAATTAATTTCGGGACAAATAAAGAAGGTAAATTGGAGCAATGAAAAGCGGAGAACTCGAGGTAACTAGGATAAGGTATACCACAAGTCTCGGATAGGGGACGAGACTCAGGCAGAAGTCGCTCGAAAAGCCTTGGATGTTCCCCGTATGTTCAAATGTCCACCCTGTAATTGATTAGATTGGCCACTGAGATTGGGTATAGGATAAGCAGCCGTTGGTTGACTGAATTTGGCCCGAAAATAAAAATAAAACTTTTTATTTGTATACAGGACCTTGTTACCCATCTGCATCTGCATGCTTTGTCATATATAAGCCAGGCTCGACCAGAGTGACGCTACGGCTTCACAGAAAACCAATGTAAAGCAGTGCTTCCGTTGCTTTTCACGGAGTGAGTGAGGTTAACGGAGCCAAAACCCAGCAGGGGTTTGAGCACCGTTAACCTCAACTTCTCCACCTGATTCTATAGGAAGGGGGGGAGCCATAAACCAATTGGTTCCAAGTAAGAGTAGCTTGCAGCTGGTTATCCGGATTAGCATTTGATGGATACGTTTAATAGTAAAACATACAGAGTTCATAACAAGTTTATCTCAAATATTTATTGCAACACCGAAAGATTTTAGTCAAATGCCACTGTTTCTCAATATATATAAATATAAACTTTCAGTCGAGGCAGACGTAGGTGGTTCAATGCTTTTCAGGTTTAAACGACTACTGGCAATTGAGTACTTAGAAGCACCAGCTGACAAAGAACTAAATAACAGTTACAGCGTTCTCTAGGTCATAAGTAAGCTTAGGCTCGAGAATTTGATTTCTTGTTTAATCTAACTATAGTTTATAACTAAAATTACACTGTAATGGCATTTAGACAAGAGTTCCGCTCTACACCTTGTGATACCTTTATCAGGGCATCGTAAGTAATCCCAATCCATTGCCAAGTTAAAGCTGAACTGGCAAAACTAATTTTATGAGCCAAAATTTGAGGACTATTTTGTTATCCGTGTGTTTGCTAATTGACTTGTATAAAAATATCGCAGATCGATACCATATATTTTGATTTGCAATAAAGAAAAAATTGTACTCATCCGTGTTCGAATTTCCATTTATATGCTTATTGTAGTTAATTCATATCAGTTTCTCCTTGTTTGGACTCAAATATATCAAGTAGTCGGTAATACAAAACGCTGAGAAAGAGTTGAGTTTTTGTACATAGTTTACACATTATGCTCATTTGGTGCATTGGCGGATTTAATGCCTAAGGTTTCTCTACAAGTCATCTATTAGGTGATGCAGAGAAAACATTAAGCAGGTGCATTTTGGTAACAGTTAATTTTAGACAACCAAAACTTAGCAATGTACCTATGTATACTTTATACAAAATCATAACATATACACACATATACAAACCTGTCATATACTATACCTACACATATTAATATTACAGATAAGTACATACATTACAATACATAAATACAGTGTAAAAGTATATGAATACATACATACGCAAATAGATACTGATAACAATTTAATATAAAAAAAATATAGTTTTAAAAAACTAAAAAACACGCTTTCTAAAGAAAACCAACCTAAAAAATAGAAAATAAATTTGAAAAAAAGCGTTGGGTGCCTGTTGTCAATAGTAAAAAGCTCCCCACGCTTTTTTGGTTTCTATAGAAAGCGTGTTTTTTAGTTTTTTAAAACTATTTTTTTTTTTAAATTATTGTATTGACATCGGTCCTCGATATATCTACAAAGTTTGAACGAATTCTGACCGTTTAAAGTCAGTCAGATGCCCAAAGGAGTCGGTTACAAACAAACAAACAAACATACAAGTGATGCTAATATAAAGCGTGTAAAAATCATTAGCAAGTTGATTCTGCCAGTTGTTTGACCAGATACTGCTTTACTTTTACTTTGAAGGGAAAAAGTGTTGATGGCCATCCTGATTTCGACCGGGAGCGCATTCCAAAGAAGAACGGACTTAACGAGAAAGGATGAGCCAATGAACTCAACGAAGAAGAAGGTTATTGGAGGACCGAAGGCCCCTGTGGTGATTACTACATAAGAGTTGGAAGTAAGAAGCTAGATACGTTGGCCAAGATGGGTTATTAAGAATAGTGAAGAAGACACTGAGAGCTAATGATAATAACAATAATAATATTGTACCACATTCACACAACGCCATCTAGTCCCAAAATAAGCAAAACTTGTACATTAGCTACTAGACTACTGATACAAATACATATATACTGTTTTTTTTATAATACATACATACATACTTATTATACATAGAAACACTCAGACCAAATCAAACATTAAAGGTTCATGCACACAAATGTGTGACTTGAGCGGGAATCGAACCCGCGACCGCGAATAGCAGTCCGTTACACAAACCACTACGCCATTCGGTCGTCATAGTTCGAAGCACTCATAAAAACTTAAGCTGGCATTTAACTGTATTCTAAATGAACATAGATGGAACGGCGAACGATTAAAAATAACGACTTATTCCAATCTTGAACTCTTCACCACTTCAGCAAATTCTGGCAGTCTTTAGGTACATCTCATTTTCAAACCGAGACAAAATGACTCACACCAGGCTTCGTTTTCCACTCGAGCTCCGGCTACAGTACGTAAAATTGTATACACATATTATGTGTACACATGTATGTATAAAAGGTATTTATTTATAAAGTATGAATCAGTGTGCGAAAGTATGCGCTATACGCTACTACGGCATGAGTCATCCAAATGTTCTTAGGAATAAAGGCTGTATTTATTTGTACAGTCGGTTATGTTGTAACTGAATGAGGCTTTACTTAGTAACAAGATAGAGGCCCATAAGGTGGCAAACCAATAGTAGGCCAATTGGCTTAGTTTAGTACGATTAAAAAAAAGCCATGTGGTGTCGCAGGACACCCGATAGAAACGAAGTTCCTTATACTATTTGACAATTTTTTTTTTTTTTGTAAATTTTTGTCAAGATATTTTTCAAAAATAATGATTTGCGTATTTTTTTTTAATTTCAACAGATTTTCAAGAGAACTACAACTAGTTATTTAAATAAAAGGGAGCTATTTTTAGGACTCCGTACCTCAAAAGGAAAAAACGGAACCCTTATAACATCAC